TTAGCACAATGGCAAAAATCCACAGATCACTGGAGGAGGATCATAAAAATAAAGACGCTTTTTGAGTTAATATTCAAGTCCACGAAAATTAATCACCATCCTTTTCAGTACTACTGAAGAAGAACTGAAAGTCGCTCAGTCGTGTCAGACTTTTTTGCAGTCCATGAGCTATACAGCCCATGGAATTCTCCATGCTACAATACTGGAGAGGGTAGCTGTTCCCTTCTCCAGGGGATCTTCCCAACTCAGGGATCAAACCCCAGTCTCCCGCACTGCAGGCAGATTCTTTACCAGCTGAGCCACCAGGTAAGTCCAGTACTCCTACCCTTTATAAAAAGGAGGAAAAAAAAAGGGGATTGCTAACTGTCTTTTACTATTTGTCCTCTACCTTTGAGGTCAGTTTGTAAATGTATTGTTCCCTCCATCCACAATGCCATTCCCAGCCTACATATAATCCCTGTTATTTATATCAGATTAAGTTTCAAGAAGCCTTCATAACTGCTTTAATACAAATCAAAATATATCTGTCTTCCAGCAAACAAGACTCTTTATCATGCATTATCTTTAGCATCTAACACTAATAATTACCTAACATATTAAAAATATGTGCACCTGCATTATAACATAACACTGAATACTGTGTATATAGCATATCTTCTTTCCTGGAAGAAAGTCACTTGAAAGTAGAAATGCTTTATTGATATCTATATTCCCCACAGGTCTAGAGAAATACAGTATTGATAGTAGATACTTAAAGCTTTGTGAATGATTTCAAGTTTTAGTTATTGATAACCATCACTCACAATCAGTGTCTTTTTTTCCAACTCCTCTCCCCCCAGCTCTAGTCTATTTTCTAGTAACTCGCATTTTCTTGAGAAATGTGGATAAAAGAGAGTAAGCCTGGTTGCAACTTTTCATTTGCAGTAATCTAATTCTCCCAGATTTTACTACACATTATTTGACACTGCAAGTGGTTTCAGTGTGATCAATATACATTATATTTTGATTTATCTTAGGCATATATTCATGAATGACTAATGAACACTGATTGATGTTAACAAATTCTCATCTTGTGATAATTTCCAGTATTTTATTATAGTTTGCAAAATATCCTCATTACAGTACTTCAGCAAATGTAATTTCAGCTGCTAAAAAATTCAACATGACCTCAGTTGTTGGCAATATTAAATAATTCCTGTTGCCATGTGATGTTAGCTGCAGCTTACATTTCAAGTCATGAGGGGTTATTAATATTATATGGTTAGAAATAATTTCCAGATCAATGAATCAATGCTATCTTAATATTCTGTCTTTAATTTTCACACCACATTTATTTTGTGAGTGGTTTTCATAAAAGGAAGTTGCTTGGTGTTGCCAAATTCATTATCATAGGATTTTCTCCAGAGCTGAATTTCCTTTGTGATCAAAGGGCAACACGAACACCTCCTAAACTATTGAACCATAATGATTTCATGGGCAGGCCACATAGAATAGAGTGAGAAGGAGGGAACTTTCTCTGCAAATACTTAAGGATACTTTACTGGAAAGCAAAGACATTTTGCACAGGAACAAGTAGAAGAAGTGGCTACATATGCATCCACTTATACACACATGTACCCGCGTGTGTGTGTGTGTTTTGTTAAATAAATACTATTTTTTTTTAGAGTTGGTAGGAATCTGCAACATGCTTAAACATTTATAAGAGGCTTACACAAACATTCTATTAGTTGACTTACAGAATGGGAATGATTTATAACAAGTAATTTCAGTCTCAGAGGCTTAAAGAGAAAGTTATGCTCTGGGTTGCATAATTCATTCACAGCAGGGTAAATATTTGAGCCCAATTAATACCATATCTGTCCTCCCAAACACATGTTGATATGTTGATAACTTTCAACTACCATTATATACATTTTTTCTGCCACTCTTCTAGTTTCCACCTCACATTAGCTCATACATTTATAATATACATATTGGAGAAGAGCATAGAAGAACAATTATGAAGAATAAATTCATTGATGGTAACATTTTTCTCCCTTTTTCTATGTTGATACAAAAAAACTTGGCCCTTCTCCTATCTACTAAGGATGATTCAAGCCTACTCAGTCAATCTGGGGAGCCCCTCACATACACTCTTGTTTATCAAGCAAGATTTTCCTTTTTCAGATTTAATATTGGGAAGGGTGAAAAGAGGAGATATAATTAGAGAGGCATCTGAAGGAAAGAGGGAAGAAATATAGGTGAAAAGAAACCTGTGGTTCATTTCATATATTGACCTAGTGGCCAAGTAGAGTATGGTTTCATACAAAGTTATAAATTTGGGTATATTGAAGACTTGGGTCTCAATATCACCATTCAAACAGAATATTCAGTAGGAATTAGAGGGCAAAATATGGACTTAGAGACACAAAGAAAAGTTTGAAAGAATACTGCCAGTATTCTTTATAAAGTTTCTCTTTAAAAGATGTTCACATAAGAAATTACAAAATTATCTCAATTTTTAGATAACAGTACAACTTATTCATGCATCATTGAAGTAAAAAAAAATTAAGAATTAAAGAATATGGTAATGAAAATAAGTAACTGGAAGATTTGACAAATATTTTATTACTGTGATTACTTATACAATGATGCAGTTTTTTTAAAATGCAGTGGTATTTCAAAGTGTATGATAAGAGACAGAATAATCAATTTGATAAACTAAATACTAACTTTAAACAAAAATCTTAATATTTAAACTTATTCAATGTGCAGCCTTTATGGTATAATCTTCTACAAAATGAGAATTAGAATTAGGTAAGTGAGCATAATATGTGCATTTATCCATTTCAACTAGTCAAATTCAGTAATTATCAATACTAATGAAAGCACATTTCCATATATTTAACCTTCAAGGTCTTACTCAAATTTTATTCCTTCTTTGGTGTCTTTACTTGTTTAACTAAATAGGAATCAATTGGCTTCATTATCTGAAATTCTCATTTACTTAAAGGAAAAGGTTAATTTTTTTCTTATTATGAATTCATTCATATAATATATGTACGCATGCCATTAAGTTTAAACACACAGTTTTACTTTGATTTATCTTTTAACCTCATATTTTTAATCTCTGAAAAAATACAGTGATTTTTTATGACCATCTGTAGCATTTTCTTATGAAGAAACCTAATAGTTATATATTTTGGTTTTTTTCTAATCATCAAAATATACATTGTGAAGACATCAGAAGTGTTAAAATTTTTTTTAATCAGTCTCTTTTCTATATTGTTTTATCTATAAATTTACAACTGTAATCCTATGAAGAATTTTTAATCTCCTTTACTAGTTTAAAAAATATACCTGCTCCTTCTTCTATGTCTTGAGTATTCTTCTAAACCATTAATACCTATTTTAATAAATCGATAGAATGCTACTCTCTGGAACAAAATCTATTTGATAAATATGATTCAATTAAGTATTTGGGCTATTCATTATTTTCTCTGATATAACAACAGACTGAGAAATATCCTCTAAATTTTTTCAGATATCCATAATTATTTTCTTACATTAAGTCACTAGATATAGAATTACTATTTATTAATACATTTGATAAATAGACTAAATACTCATTACATGTTTCTTATATATTTTATAGTACTTGCCCTACTAGTCTGGATTGGTTTATCTTCCTTACTAATCTTTAATTTCTGAAAAGCAGGTATTCTATAAAATTTAAAGTAAGACACATATTTGTTCTAGTTTGTAGACCTTATGAAGTATAAAATGTTTTTGAATGAAATATATTCCATCTCCTAAATCTATAGTGTATTACCCTTTTCAACCCAGAAAAACTTTATATTCATGTCTCTAGATTATACATATATTCTGGCTTATGGGTTCATGAAGGTAAAGACTGAGGGAAGATCATAATCTGTGCAACAAACAAATCTGTGAACAAATCTGCATTTAGTTCAGTCCAGTCGTTCAGTCATTTTTGACTCTTTGCGACCCCATGAACTGCAGCACACCAGGCCTCCCTGTCCATCACCAACTCCCGGAGTTTACCCAAACTCACGTCCATTGAATTGGTGACACCATCCAACCATCTCATCCCGTCATCCCCTTCTCCTCCTGCCTTCAATCTTTCCCAATATCAGGGTCTTTTCAAATGAGTCAGCTCTTTCCATCAGGTGGCCAAAATATTGGAGTTTTAGCTTCAACGTCAGTCCTTCTAACGAACACCCAGGACTGATCTCCTTCAGGATGGACTGGTTGAATCTCCTTGCAGTCCAAGGGACTCTGAAGAGTCTTCTTCAACACTACAGTTCAAAAGCATCAATTTTCCTGTGCTCAACTTTTTTTATATTCCAACTCTCACATCCATACATGATTATTGGAAAAGCCATAGCCTCGACTAGATGGAACTTTGTTGACAAAGTAATGCCTCTGCTTTTTAATGTGCTGTCTAGGTTGGTCATAACAGTGTATTTGACCCTTATTTATGATCTCTTGAAAACCAGACATCAGAAATTCTTTTCAACTACTGGATTATCTGTCTGCTCCACTGTGACATGACTCTGCAATTGACAAAATCTGGGGTCCTGACGGGTAACTCAGCCATTAGATACCTGATAGTAAGGAGGATCTGGAACAATGTATGCATCTGAAATGATTCATGGTAACTCTGGGTTCCCACTGAGGTCTCTTAGAGAAATAGCCTTCCCTCCTTACCCCAAATACTATGTGAAGTTTTATCTTTCATTCTACTTTTAGTTCAGGCAGTTTAACACTTGGTTCAGAAGAAAACCTATCTTTAATTAACTGTTCTACTACTGAAAGTTAAAAAGAAGAATATCCAATGACTTTTAAAGCACTATAGAAGTTCACAACTTTAGTCTTTTAAAGAAATGCTATAGCCTGATATTTTTTAAATGGTAAAAGGCTCAGTGGAGTCATTTTAGGACCTCTGTGTGCTGAAGCAAGAAAGATGCACAAACTGTGTCTTGGTACACCGAACTCACCTGGAGATGAAGCTCATCACTTCCTCCAATGCTGGTGCCAGCATGCCAACAGTCAGACACCTTCAACTGGAATGTTATGGGCCAGGAACTGCTTGCTTTTTATCCCCACCTGGAACAAAATACAGTGTCAGTCACTTTTTTTTTCCTTATGTTCCTTCAAGCATAATAACATATTCATTATGTTATCTTTTCCTGTCATATTAGACTCTCATTTATCAGAATCCTCAACACAAAGAAAAGAAGCATAAACTCTTCACCTCTATAATTCACACCTCAGTGATTAATATAGCACCTGTGTAAGTAACAGGGCACATCCGTATTTTATTTCCTATAATGTTCTTTATAAAAGATTTATTATTTTAGCACAATTATTACCATCCATTTGGTTTAATTGATGTGTTAATTTTGGAAGCTATTTTCTATATATTTTCCGCAGAGATCGTAAATCAAAATTCATTTTTAAACCCCAGAAAGAAGCTAGTATTAAAAATATTACATTTTAGAATTCCTTTGTTCCTATCACAAAAAGGAATCCCAGTAGGAAACAGAATTTAATAATGCAATTCCATTTAGTTTTATGCTTGCCTTATTTAAAATTCTTCAACTTGAAGGACATTGATGAGGAACATGCATGTTTCCCCAAATGCACAATGTTGCTGCTTTGGAACATAAGATGAAAACAGATCTTTCAACTACTTCATAAAATTACAGGCTTCAAAAAAGCCTCAGAGCTGAGTTGCCTTTGTGAGTGGGGTGTTAGGGCCTCTCAGTTACCATCCACCTGATCTCCAGAGCTCTCAGCCTTGCTCTGGTCCAGTGTACAGTTGGGAGGTTTAAGGAAATATCCAGGAGATATAGACTGAAAGTGAAAGTGTTAGTCACTCGGTTGTGTCCAACTCTTTGCAGCCCTATGGACTGTAGCCCACCAGGCTCCTCTGTCCATGGTATTCTCCAGGCAATACTGAAGTGAGTTGCCATTCCCTTCTCAAGGGGATCTTCCCAACCCAGGGATCAATCCCGGGTCTCCTGCATTGCAAGCAAAGTCTTTACTGTCTGGACCATCAAGGAAGCCCTAGAAATATGCCAGTCATGCTGCAGTGTGTCCAGCCAGCACCTGCTTCACCTTCATCCCCTTCCCTAGGATCTGGAGTTTTGTGTGCCGACCTTCCTCCTTATGCTCACTGTATCCTGAACTCTCAGAACCAGGGCTGAGCAGGTTGGCATACTTTCTCGCTTGACCCACCTGCCTGGGCTTCCTCTTCTTGCTATCCCTTTTCAGCACTAGTTGCTTGTTTGACTCACCACTTATTACCTGGCACCACCCTCTGTGAATGAATAATGTGACTCCATGTACTTCAACACATACAAACCCTAAATGGCTTCAAGTGTCAAGTCAGCAACACCTGTTTTGTTCTATCTTGCTATTTACTTAGGTGAAGAATCTGTCTATGTAATGAAATGGGAAACTTGCAAAGAAAGGCTTATTTGGATTCCTTTATAGAACTCAAACCTTAAGAATGATTGTTCTTTCCTTAAAGTCCTCTTAAAATCCAGATTTCTCTCTTTATGCAATCTAGCCTAGCCCTTTCACTTTAAACTTCAGTTCAGTTGCTCAGTCGTGTCCAATTCTTCATCTTAAACTACTGCCCCGATAGATTTTCATCAACTCTCACTTAGATAACAAAACAACTTCCTAAATTTCGACACGGTGCCAACTGAAAACAGATGGCACTTTAAAATTAGGACAATTTGAAGAGAGTTTAATAAAAATCCTATTTAAAAAACAGTGGGTGGCATGTGAGGGAACCACAAGGGGAGGGGTAGTGGAGTTGCTGTCACCCCAGGCCTGCAGGGGCGAGAGCAGGGACCAGTTACCATCACCCAGGAGTCAGGCAGGCTTCCCCGCTGGTTCAGACAGGAAAGAATCTGCCTGCAGCGTGGGAGATTCAGGTTTGATTCCCGGTTTGGGACGATTCCGTGGAGAAGGGAATGGTTACCCAGTCCAGTATTCTTGCCTGGAGAATTCATGGACAGAGGAGCCTGGAGGGCTGTAGTCCACAGGGTCACAAAATATCGGACATGAGTGAACGACCACCACTCTTTCCACTGCAGGAGTCAGGCGTGCACAGAGGCCTCCTGCAAGTCAGCAGTGATCTCTGCTAACGAGCGCCAGCTAGCACAGCAGGCAGAATAGAAGGGAGCCCTGGGATCAAATGCTCTTCTCTTCCCCTCCCTCTGGTTTCCTGTCTGTGCTACCCATGGGGCTGACCACACAGGGATCCTAAGAGTACGAAAGCCTGTTGATGGACTTCATCCAGGCTAGTTTCCAGTTTCACAGAATAGGATGGAGAATGGTAGACAGGGCATCCAAAAGGCAAGCAGAAGAGATCTAGCACTCTTATTCATAGTTTGGAGCATCAAATTTGGAATCAGATGTAAATCTGAGTCCTAGCTCTAACTACATGCGTAACTCTAGACAAATTATTTCTCAGTATCGTTATCTGTACAATGGGGATAATATATACTTCAGGGTGTGTGTTTTTTTTTTTTTTAGACAGCATAATGTACCTAGAGCACATACTAAGTACTTAACATTAGCAGTAATCCTCTCAAAATGTAAACACACATCACACACACAGAGTCATGCCAAACTCTTCCACTCTTGTTCCAATAGACCATGTGTTTAAATCTGACTTTCCTAAACATTCTTCTTTCTACTTGAGTTTTTTTTCTTCCCCTATGTCAACCATGTTACCTAGAAAATACACTCAGATGTTGAAGTTTGTAATATGATATGAGGGGCTTCCCAGGTGGCACTAGTGGTAAAGAACATGCCTGCCAGTGCCGGAGACTTAAGAGACCTGGGTTCTATCCCTGGGTCAGGAAGATTCCCTGGCAGAGGGCAGGACAACCCACTCCAGTATTCTTGCCTGGGGAACCCATAGACAGAAGAGGCTGGTGGGCTACAGTCCACAGGGTTGCGAAGAGTTGGACACAATTGAAGTGACTTAGCACTCACTCATAATAAGATGTGAAGGCTCTCTCCAGTCTCTCTCAAGAAAGGAAAACCATTCTTTGTTTCTCTATGGCATGCATATCACTCTGCAAAGCAATTAAATCATGCTTGTCCTCTTAGTTGACTGTGAGCTCTCTGAGGGAAAGATAAGCTTCTGGCTGACAGATTTGTATCCTCAGAAGGAGGTTCATTGCCAGGTTCTTAGTACTCAATAAATATTAAGTGAATAAATGACTTAGTACTCAATAAATACTAAGTAATCCTAAGAGTACGAAAGCCTGTTGATGGACTTCATCCAGGCTAGTTTCCAGTTTCACAGAATAGGATGGAGAATGGTAGACAGGGCATCCAAAAGGCAAGCAGAAGAGATCTAGCACTCTTATTCATAGTTTGGAGCATCAAATTTGGAATCAGATGTAAATCTGAGTCCTAGCTCTAACTACATGCGTAACTCTAGACAAATTATTTCTCAGTATCGTTATCTGTACAATGGGGATAATATATACTTCAGGGTGTGTGTTTTTTTTTTTTTTAGACAGCATAATGTACCTAGAGCACATACTAAGTACTTAACATTAGCAGTAATCCTCTCAAAATGTAAACACACATCACACACACAGAGTCATGCCAAACTCTTCCACTCTTGTTCCAATAGACCATGTGTTTAAATCTGACTTTCCTAAACATTCTTCTTTCTACTTGAGTTTTTTTTCTTCCCCTATGTCAACCATGTTACCTAGAAAATACACTCAGATGTTGAAGTTTGTAATATGATATGAGGGGCTTCCCAGGTGGCACTAGTGGTAAAGAACATGCCTGCCAGTGCCGGAGACTTAAGAGACCTGGGTTCTATCCCTGGGTCAGGAAGATTCCCTGGCAGAGGGCAGGACAACCCACTCCAGTATTCTTGCCTGGGGAACCCATAGACAGAAGAGGCTGGTGGGCTACAGTCCACAGGGTTGCGAAGAGTTGGACACAATTGAAGTGACTTAGCACTCACTCATAATAAGATGTGAAGGCTCTCTCCAGTCTCTCTCAAGAAAGGAAAACCATTCTTTGTTTCTCTATGGCATGCATATCACTCTGCAAAGCAATTAAATCATGCTTGTCCTCTTAGTTGACTGTGAGCTCTCTGAGGGAAAGATAAGCTTCTGGCTGACAGATTTGTATCCTCAGAAGGAGGTTCATTGCCAGGTTCTTAGTACTCAATAAATATTAAGTGAATAAATGACTTAGTACTCAATAAATACTAAGTGAATAAATGACTATGTATTACTAGATTAAGTCTGTTAAAATGTAAGGAAAAAGGCTCAGTAATTTCTTCATTCTTTGCTCAAAGGGCATATCAAACTGTAACCAATCATTCATATTGGGGACTAAATAAAGTTTGAAAGAGGTCCCAAAGGAAAATCCAAGCAACTTTGCCTTTTTTCCCTTGGACAGCCTTGCTGGAAAATCCACCTCATGCAAGCATGCTAGAAGCACTAGTCCTAATAGAATTCATTCAGTAACTCACAGAATTAGCTAACTTCAACAAACACTTCTTTGTATCTGATGCATTTGAGTGATGAAACAACCAGCTGAATCACCAACATTTTCTCAGTGAGTAACCTAAAGTTTTTCCCCACCAATTAAACATAGTCTGCTTTGTGAGGGAGTAATTAATTTGCATGAGTCGAAGTCTCAGAAAAATGGTGTAAAAAGGTCTTACTCCCATTTTATTTCAAGTCTTTCCATTTGTCATCTTCAATAAGACATTTCCTAGCATCTGTGTGCCCTTGCTAAACTTCTTTCTGCAAATACAGTAGTGTAGTATGTGTATTTTCACTCCTCATTCCCTTATTTAAAAACTGCATACTTTCCACTATTATGAGCCTGTTTTTCCACTGAAAGTAACTTTGAGATTGTTTGTATTATCAAGTAAAGAGTATCTTAATCATATTCAGTTTCATGTATTTCTATTGTTCTCAAATACAGTAAATTCTTTAATCTAACTTCCTTAAGGTTTGTTTTTCAAAACTTTTACTGTTATTAAGAGGCTATGATAAATAACTTAGTAAAAGTTAGTATCTCATAGGTTCATCTGTAGGAAA